GATATTGAATTCATTATTCCATTAATACGAAACGCAACTAATAGATTCTATATGATTAACTTATGAGGTTTTTGAGAAACTGGTTTCATGTTACAGGTCCTAAACTCGCTTAATGGGATAAAAGACATGAAGTCACGTCTAACATCGAAAGCCGAGTATGTCTTCTCCTATGATCTTACTGTTGGAATAATATTATTTCCTTTAGGGTCTAGAAATGGGATTAGTAGCAAGCAACATTGTATTTAAACTACACATATGTATTCTCTCTTGTTTTGTTTTGTAGATACATGTTGTCAGGTCGGAAGAGAATGATGTGGGATATTAGTTTAATAAACATCAAGATAATTATTCCCTGGGAGAATGGGAAGTCAGAGATACATAAATTGGTATTGATTTCTTTTTAAATTGTCATACGAGGTTCACATTATTATTATTTGTATTTGTATTAACTTCAAACCTTAGCATACAGGTACTTGGATTAACAGTTGTCACCTTTTCATCCAAGCATGATGTTAACTGTTTTGCACTAGATACCTTCTCAATTCATGAGGAATTTAATAGATGACAATTCTTCAAGTGAGCTTCTAGAAGAAACTCAGATTCAAGATCTGTATGATCTCTTGGAAATTAAATTAGTCAACTTCCAGGTCAGCTGTCAGCATCTTCTCTCATTGACACTCAACATCTCACATTTCACATAACTGACGGGTTACTTCCTGCAGATAAACTTGCTTGTGCCATTCTATCCTCATTATTTTCCTATTCTGGAAAACCTCAATGCTTCTTCTGCTTTAGCATTGTGCATTGTTCAGGATGAATCATTACTGAAAGCAATGGAGGTAGGTATGTTTACATCATCCTACTAAAAGTTCAAAATTTTCACACACTTGTCACCATTAATAATAATAATTGGTTTCAATGAATCTCAATATCAATGTTACAGAATCCTTGATTGAGGTTGCTTTCAGAACACTTGTAATGGTTTCTAGCTATTTTCTCTAAAAAGATTCTATTTTGATGCCAAGTCATTTTCACAAATGCAACAACAATGCCATTTGAAGTCAAATTCGATATCCCATTTGGTGTATCTCCCAAGATTTTGGACCCTGTATATCCAGGACACGAGTTTCCTCTTCCTTTACATGTAGCAGAATCAGGTCGGATAAGATGGCGTCCATTAGGGAACACTTACTGGAATATTATTTTCTATAGGGTCTAAAAATGGGATTATTACTAATAACAATAGATAATTACTTTGCTCTTCATGGGATTTTCAGGTATTATGTTACTTGGCTTCACTATTTCCAAAAAACATAAACTTGTTTTGGCAAGATGAGGTACCAACGCCCCCGGAGTTCTGGCACCTTCCATCTTTACTTCCTATGTATCCAGGTTAATCTACTCATATTAATTCATGTCTCAAAGTGTGTATTCCAATATCAGGTATCATGATTTGTGTATTTACAAAATTTTGAAATAGGGTCTTGTTCAATGCTTTAGCTGTGTTTGCTCTAAGGGAGATCAACTTATCAAAAGTAAGTTATTTTTTTCACCCTTTTATTTAATATTTTTTGTGATTGAATGAAAGTCTTAATGAAAGTAATTGACAACCCTTTTCTGTAAATGATGTTGTGATTGTGGGAGAGGTGTTGTGTTTTTCTCTGTTGCTAGGTAACCTTCTCAACAACAACATTCTACTTAAGCAGGTGAGTAATCAAGATTAAGGGAGACTTGTAATCATGTTTGGCATTCCTTTCCAGTAAGAAACAGAGTTGTATGATTATTTGTTAGTTTTATAGGAATGTATAACCCATGTTAGCAATGTATTATTTTTATTTAACATTTGAATGATTCTTTGTATGACATTATAATTTGTTCAATTTATTTCACTTTTTGAGTATGAAATTTTATTTTATATTATGCAGTGGATTGTATTTTTTGTACATGATATTTTATTTCTATTATGAGAAATTAAATGCAAATTTAATTTAAAAATTAATAAATATATAAATAAAATTTTAAACATTTAAATTTACGATACGCAAAAATGTGTATCATCTTCATTTATGACATGGCCTTTCTTGACAGGGGCTTTTTTGATACGCATTGCGTGTCATTAACACGCGCGTCGTAAGGTTACGACACGGGAATGCGTGTCGTCTTCCTTTATGACAGGGCCTTCCTTGATACGCATTGCGTGTCGTAAAAGCGCATCATAATTGCGCATCGTAAACGAGCGTCGTAAATGCGCGTCGTCTCTCTTTATGACAGGGCCTTCCTTGACACGCATTTGCACGTCATCTGAGCCTTTTATGACGCGCAATGAGCGTGGTAAGAAGCTGTTTTTCTAGTAGTGTATGTAGTTTTATATTTTTATAAAATCGGTGACGTGTGAGCTTCCCATAAACCAAGATAGTATTGTTAATCCCTATGTGAGTTATTATAACCATGCTTGATGTGACTATTATGCATGTATGGCGTTCTTCAGGCATCATAATTGGTAGGTATTTGTCACCCTAGACTGACCCGTCTAACTGTAGCGAACAGCTTAGGTGTGGGGTTGTTAATGCCATATAGATCTGTATACAGCTATCTCGCTCACCTTCCAGGAGACGCTGGTTATCATAAAGGACCTAAGGTGTATTCTAGGTAGGTATTGTGAAGAGAATGTCTTACTAGAGCATTAACAGATTTACATGAACTACAAGGCCCCTTTTCTTGTATAATGAAATAAATACACTATCGAAAATTTATCAAATGTGTTTTATGACATCCAAACTATACCATTTATAGATTGCCTTGTATGCTTTTGTGTAAACTATTTATATAAAATTTATATCAATATCAAGTTATAATCTTGTCTAGTGGTAACATATGTTGTTAAAACATAATACTCTTGGGTTTTAACCCACCAAAATAGTGATTACTAAAAATATGACCACTTTACTAGAAATTATATTTTTAGCAAAAATTACCAAAAATTTTAGTTTTGTCCTACTCATATTTTAATGGTTAATATTTTTATCACAAAAATAGTTTATGTTTGTCAACTTTACCATCCTAACCTCATAGGTCACGATTTTTATAAAAAGAAATGGTGACTTCAACGTTTTTATACAATATTTATACCAAATTCAAGTAGTAAGAATGAGACATAAAAGTATCCAAATGACAAACATATATATATATATATATATATATATATATATATATATATATATATATATATATATATATGTTTATGTTATCTTTGTGTGTATCCTCCCATAAACACGATTTTTGTGTGATCAAAATGGGGTTTACCACATCTTGTGCACATATTACTTCACATTCAAACAATAAAGAAGAAACTAGAAAATATCCTTTAGATAAACATGTTTTGACTTTTACCCCCCCTCCCCCCCCCTCTAAAAGCATGAAAAACTCGAAAATGGGGGTATGAAGCTCGCGTTGGCAAATTTTCGTAGATATTTGGAAAGGAAGAGATGAGAGTTTCAAGCCTAGCTTCTTGAGGGAGGTTGACAAACTTCTTGGAGATATGATTATCCTAAAGGTTTCACATATGGATAAGTGTGTAAGGATGATGCAATTTACAAGGGTGTGTCAAACTACTAGAGAATGTCGAATATGCTTACCAAAATGCTTAGGAACACTTAGATGATCATGATCTTTGGAAAGCACCTAGTTTGTTCTTGAGAGAAGTTCTTGTGGAGTATGAAAGTGAAGAGAGGTAAGATAGTTAAAGAAAAGGAGTTGGTGTATGGAGGATGGCTCTCTGGCTGTGTTTTAAATGGAAGATTGGAAGGGAGGGTCCTTATGTTTAATTGTGAAGTAATGTAGTGTGTTGCATTGTTTCTTGCTGGGTAAGTATAAGTAAAGTTGGGTTATTCTTTTCAAGGTCAACACTCAAACTTTTCCACTTAATATCCACTAGGTATACTTTTAAAATGGCTGAAATCAGCCCATTTACAATGGTGATTTCGGTCCTAAAGTGTTCTAGGATTTATGTTTTTTACCTTATTGGGCCATTCCTAAGGTTTTCGGTTTTAAGATGTTCCATCAAATGGGGTTTGTGGTCATACGTTCTATCTTAAAAGGGTTTGCGGTTTTTAGATCATCCACTAAGGGATGATTTCGGTTTTGAGGGATAGAAATCACAAGGATGGTGGCCCCAAAAGTTTCAAGAATTCAAGGTCTTGGCATAAACACATGTTATGTTATACCCATTTGATTTTTATTTGTTTTGCATTGATCATTCAAGGTTTATTTCAACATGAATTTTTCAAGTGTATATCATCTCTCGTCATATGAATGGTGTCCTTTGTGGCTTTCGATAAACATCATTATATTAAAGTTACATAGATATACTTATATACAAGACTCCTTAGGCTTGGTTTGACCCAAAACTTTTTAGTTATGAAATTAGTGAATTCCCCAAAACAGCACAGACCGTACATATCAAACATATGATGAGCCCTGCCCGACATCAGGCCCCGCTCGGAACAGATCTGTCAGGAATTTGAGATAGACGTCACCTCACCACATTCATCACGACCTGCCTGGCATTCGCAACCTGTCCGGTATACATATAAACACATAAACGCATGCAAGAATCACAAAGAGAATAACATACAATATACTCATCAGGTCTCGCCTGGCATCGGTCCCTGCCCGGAATACATATCAGATATCATACATGGAAGAGTCACGCAGATAACTAGCATCCTAATCATAATAAACCATGGACCGACGTTGGTGCCTTCGACCAACCAAACACAGTGAGGAAACTCACCTCAAGCTACTGAATATCTTAGATAAAAACCAAGAATGCTAATCCGGAAAATTCCCACACTAACATCATCAAATAATACCCAATTAATAATTGGTCCACAACCCATAAACTAGAATCCTAGTTTGATGTCCAACACTTAGGGTAAAAGTCCATTTTACCCTTTCCTCACTTGGCCGAAAATCTAAGACCTAATCCAATAACACCAAAATTCCCTATACGACCCAACTTCCTAAATGGGCCCAAAACCTATCATGTGCCAAAATCCAAGAAGGCTCAAAGCCTAGTAATAGACCAAACTCTGAAGACTACTGGCCAAATAAGGCCCAAAACCCATTTAGTCCAAATGTGGCCCAAACCTTGAAAGTTAATCGGTGTCACCGACAGTTGAGTACGCCTTGCATTCTCAAGAATCACTAATATATGTTGCGTACAAGTTGGGTACACCCAGCATTCTACTAAGCATGTAAGATCAGGGACCAGGCAGAATACACATACGTACGCCATGCGTATATACCCATTAATAACTTTTATGTTAAGTACTTAATACTTGCAACCAAAAGCCCAAACTTCATATCTAATTCTTATTAAACATCTTAATCCACAACATCATGAACTTGGAGCCTTTGTATGGCTCAAAAGGACCCTAACCTCACTTTTAGCATTCTACTTTCACCACAATAACCCAAACACATGCATGGTTGATCCACAAACCATCAAGATGATAACTTTATGGACTAAGGACCTCATAAACATGAAGAGAAGCAAGTCCTAACTTTTGGAGTGGAAGGAATCCACTAGATCTCATCATGAGCCAAAATGCGACCAAAACTTCATAAAGACTAGATCTAAACAAACAGGGAGCAAGTTCCAAGCTTTATACCTCAATGAAGTTGGAAATGGTGAGAAAAATATGAATCTACAACTCTTCTTTGGGAAAATCTTCTTCTTCCAAGCTCTTCTTCTTTAAATACCACCAACACACACTATAAACACACGTAAGAAGGTCAAATCTCTTGAAAAGGGGTTAGGGTTTCGAAATGCGACTCAAAGGGCATTGGATCTGAGATATGAGAGGTTTAAGTTTGATAATCTTGTTTATATAGGTTCCAAACCGTAAAATATAGGGTTTGTCCCCTGCATGCATACGCTCTATGTACAATGAGTACACCACCAAACTACAAGTTTTCCGATAATGGCAAAACTGTTGGGT